GCTCTTGGTTAGTAACAGCGATGCAGGATGGATAAGCCGGAGCCAGCTCGTGTACCAGGAGCTGCTGCCTCTCAGGAGCCCCATGCTGGGAAGCATCACTGAATTGCCCTGGCTCCCAGTGCAAACTGGTGAAGCAACGGGCCTGACAGGCATTTCCCACACACCCATGTCCAGCAGCAGACACCTGGGAGAGGTGGGAGTTCCTCACTTCCCGCTGGCATAAATCAGGAGCAATTCCCTATGATTCACAGAACTAAAGCGGGGAGCAGGGAGGAAGAACAATCCCATTGTGTGCAAGCACCAGCACAATATCCAGCTGCTAACAAAATAACCCTGAGTTCAGCTTCGGCATTTCTCAGCTCTAGTCCTTTCCTCACACGGGGTTTAATCCAGGTGAATGGCTGATCTTGCTCCGTCTTTACTCTCCTTAAGTATCCCTGGGGAAAGGCAACAGCCAAATGCCAAACAACCTGGGTAACATTTTGTTACTGCCAGCCTGAAATATCTCACATGCTGTGGTGCATGATACCACCACACAGATTCATCTGTTAATACACTGTCCAACCCAAACTTGGGCTTCACTTTGGAATTGATCTCTAAATCCCGGAGCTTTGCAGTGTCCCTCCACAGCCGACCCTCCCACAGGAATTTAACCCTCCCTGGCCCAACTGCTTTCTCAACACAATGGTTTAGCTCAGGCAACATTAGGCATTCACACTCCTCAGTGTGATGTAAGGAGGGGTGGGATGGATTTTCTATCATCAGTCCTGGGATGAAAACAGCCTAGACATCTCGCATCCCCAGCTAGCTCCTGGCTAGGCAGGGGGCAGCCGGTTAAACAAGTCATGGCTATCAAAATGCTGCTGCTTTAAAGAGGCTCTTCACTGGCTGCAGCCAAAGCCACGCTACGCCTCACGTCACTGAGTAACAGAAATAGCAGGCATGAGTGAATGAGTATGAAGAGCGCACGGATTTCAAACATACTTGGCTGGGGAGCGCGCTCTGTTCCTGCCGTTGCCATTCCTGATGCGACGGAGCACGGGGATCTCTCACTGTCTGCCCATGAAGGAGGATTCTCTTTTTTCCCTTCTTTTCTTTTTTTTAAATTTCAGCTTTAATACTACTAGAATTGGCTTATTTTACTTCTTGTAGGAAACTTCATCTGCTGGATTTAAAAGCAAGGTTTGAGCAGGAGGAATTCATTTATATTTGCAGCTATTGAATGTGCATGGTACTCCTGTGTGATGATAATGTAGAGGGAAAGGCAGGATTGGCTGAGGGAACTGCATAGACCATAAGATGCTTGAATGGCTGCTTGGAATAACAAGCTCTCTATTGTGTGTGTGTGCAAGTGTGTGTGTTTTTGTACGAGCGCAGAAATGACAGTAACTTTAAAATGATGCAAGGTGTCCCCACATTGCTTAGTTTTCCTCCTCCAGGAGTGAGGACTTGCTTACCTGTGGGTTCTGTCTGCAGACAGGTGAAGTTGAATTGAATTAGTGCTGTCATAATTTTATGAATGAAGCAAACTGCAGGTTCAATGGAAGAGGAGCAGAGCGGGGAGATGCGGCGCGTTGGTCTCTCTCCGGCAGGAGCTGTCACAGCAGGGAACCACACAGACATGCACAGGCATGGCACAGATCTGCTCCCAGTGCCTGGAACACAAAGTGAGGCAGCTGCAAGAACACAGCACCTGAGAAATGGAAACATGCTCCTGAAAATGAGCTATCAGAAATCCAGCTGAGCTTGAGAGCTGCGTGTGTGACCAGCTCTGGGCTTGGCCGGAGCATCCTATGCAGAGCCATTAATTTCCAACCAAGTGTGCTGGTGACTGTGAGGCAGAGGAGGAGGCAGAGCTCCCTGAGCATCATGTCTTCTTCATGCGTGATGCTTTTGCTGCCAGCACAGCTCGTAAATGAACAGTGATAAAGTGGATGGTGAAGGAGCAGGCTGGTGCCTGGACACACTAGCTACACATGCCCAGAGGCAAGCAGGAGGGGACAGCAGAGCGTGGCAGGGGAGGGAGGAGGCAGATTTGGGTTTGCAAGGTCCAAGAAAGCCAAGATGCTGGTGAAGCTGCTGGAGACCAGCCGAGAGGAGCGACATCCTTGAGAAGCACTGGCCACTGAAGAACCACACTTCATCTTTCCCCTTGGGTATCTGCCCTGGAGGGACGCAGGTGGGAGATGGGCTCCCTGTGTATTATGTTTTTTTGTTTGCACCTCTATCCCAATTTTAAGCAAGGAAAAATCTCCCTCTGTACTGGATTGTCCTCCTTTATACAGAGTTTTTACATGGCATCTCCGTAGCACCCATCACCTGCAGGAGTTGGTAATGGGAAGAAGAAAAGGTGAGGGCAAGTCATGAAGAGGATGAGAGGAGGTACCTGTCAGGGTCTTTGGCACAAGGACCGCAGAGGAGGGCCTGCTGCTGTAATCCTACTGCCAAGGAGCTAGTGGGAGCAGAGGTGCAAAGGAGTCAGAGCTGGTGCAGAGGCAAAGGGACACCGAACTCGCTGGGAAAAGCTGCAAATTCCCAGGATAAACCAAACCCAACCTTGCCCAGCAGAAGGAGGCAGAGGGAAGGTTTCGCCTGCTGAGCCCTGCAAGGGCGAGGCAATCCAGCATCCCTTCTCACAGCACTCTCCTGAGACAATCTGAGTAAACTACATAGTGCAAACACACTTTTGTGTGCAGTGACCTGTAGGGTGGCATAGGCTTTTGGTACGCCTTAAAATTTGTGCGGTTTAGCTACTTCTGGAATGTTTCTCTCAGGTAGGTTTGATCTCCCTTTGCCTGCACCCAGAGCCAGCATAAATTCAAAACAACACCGTCATGATTTGTACAGTATTGAGCTGGAGCTAACCAAAAGCTTCTGAAGAAGAGTGACTACCTGCCTAACATGCTGCAGAGCAACTCACACTTTCCTGCGTGAGGCTGTTCATCTAGGTTCAGATAGGTCTATCTGAAATATGTCTGTGCAGAGACACAGGAAGATCCTGAGGGATCACACTTGACAGAAAGCATGAAAAAACGCTGTGTTTACAGGCATATAAAACCCAATGTGAAACCTACACCCCGCTTTATAGATATAAAGTGCCTTTTTTCTCTATCACTCAAATATAATTTGAAGCTGCAGGTCAGGACATAGCAGTATCTTCTTATTCAAGGGTAACGCTCTGTGAAAACACTGCAGGAATGTTGGACAAGACTTTGAACGGATCACTTTACAAAACAGATAGTTTGGCTGCAAATGGTAAATCCGAAGTTTGGTTACCCTTTTGGGGGGGCTTTTACTTCTTCAGAGTTAAGAGCTTAGCAAAGAGGTTTAAGCAAACATGCTGCGAGGTCGGCAAGATGCCGCTATTACACAGGTACAAGAAAATCCAGTGGCACAGGGAGTTATGAATTTAGGAAGAACACTTTTTTCCTCCAAGCCCAAATTAATTTCAAGGATTAGGAGCAAGTGGTTCCAATGATCTGCACAATCTCTTCCATCTCTTTTCCTTGGACACACTACAACATGTCACTCATCAAAGCTGTGCTCTTGTAACGATAGCATGAACCTTACACATATGGCCTCAGTGCAGAAGATGGTTGGCACTCAGGGACAGGTAACTTCTACATGATAATTTGTGTTGTTCTGGCAGATTTCTAATATGTTGGTTTCTGATGTCTTTCCTTTAGTGGAGAATGAAGATCTTCCTTGAATGAGACCCTGCTAAGAAATGGTTCACCATCTCCCAGCAGTCGCATTTCTCAGAGCAGAAAGAACAGATCTTCAGACCCCTGTGGCATGAACAAAGCCTCTGGAATTTAGAGGACAGGAGGATGTCTCTAACTGACGAGCTGGAGACCCACTTTTCTGCAACCCCCTACATGGTGGCAGACACAAGTGAGGGCAGCCTGTTCAGAATCAGACCCAATGTGTCTGCCAATGCCACCAGTGATGGCACGTCAGCTGCCGGTTCCATGGAGGACATGATTGCCATCTGCACCATTGGGACAATCCTCTCCCTCATGTGTGTGATTGGGGTGACAGGCAATGTCTACACCTTGCTAGTGATGTGCCATTACTTGAGGTCATCTGCTTCCATGTATATTTACATCATCAACCTTGCGCTGGCAGACCTGCTTTACCTCCTCACCATCCCCTTCATTGTTGGGACCTACTTCATTCAGAAATGGTACTTTGGGGACATCGGCTGTCGCATCCTGTTCAGTCTGGACTTCCTCACCATGCACGCCAGCATCTTCACCCTCACAGTCATGAGCACAGAGCGCTACTTTGCTGTTCTGAAGCCCCTGGACACTGTCAAGAGGTCCAAGAGTTACCGAAAGGCCATCGCTGTTGTTATCTGGCTGGTGTCACTGCTGCTCACTCTCCCAATGCTCATCATGATTCAGCTGGTGCAAAGGGACAACAAAAGCATTTGCCTGCCCACTTGGAGCAAACTGTCCTACAAAGTCTATCTCACCATCCTTTTTGGTACCAGCATCGTGGGACCAGGGGTGATCATTGGCTATCTTTACATCCGATTAGCTAAGATATACTGGGTGTCACAAACAGCATCCTTCAAGCAGACCAAGCGGCTGCCAAATCAAAAGGTGCTCTATCTAATCTTCACAATAGTGCTGGTTTTCTGGGCTTGCTTCTTGCCTTTCTGGATATGGCAGCTCCTCTTCCAGTATTATGAATCCTTCCCTTTGTCTCCCAAGGTAATGAAGAACATTAATTATCTGACAACCTGCCTGACCTACAGCAACAGCTGTATCAACCCCTTCCTCTACACCCTGCTCACCAAAAACTACAGGGAGTACCTGAAGAACCGACAACGGACCCTTAGCAGCAGCAGTGGGTACTTCCAAAGGAGGAATCGGTTTCAGAGGATTTCAGGGAGATCCCTGTCCACAAGCAGTCAGCACTGCACAGAGACATATGTTCTTGCTCACGCTCCATTGGGAAACAGCAATGCCTGAAGGTAAAATATATCTCCAAGAACAATCAATACTGACTTCCATGTTGCTTTGATTTAAAGTGTACGTTGTAAAGGCAAAGCCTCAGCAGATCAATATTGTGCACACATTTAATCCAGAGGCTGTGCTGTGTGTCTGTTTCCATTTTCTTCAGTGCCACCAATTTGATGCTAGCAGCGTTCAGCTGAACATCTATCTCAATAGCCCTTTGCTTTCTATCTTTGTATTTTATAGTGTATATCTCCTCAAGTAGCTATAAATAATGAAAGTCTATAACAGGGTCATGTTTTTAACAGTATCAGCTGTCTCACAAAGTTTAAAATGATGTTATTCAGTGAATGGCTGTAGTTTGCTCTTCCTTTAGGTGTAATGCTAAATTTGTAGTTGTATGAGGACTAAAAACAATGAAATAAAGACAAAGTAGCTGATGTTTGTGACATGCGATCCAGTTTGAATTTGGTATAGGACTGGACAATGTGGTTGAGGCATATCCAGGGGTGCTTGTCCTGGTTTTGGTTATATTGACATTTATTCTACACTCATGTGTGTGTACTGGGCTTGATTCTCCATTCATGTAGGTGTCTGTAGTGGAGTTACACCACAGCTCGTGTTAGCAAGACAGGATTCCCATGTCAGTGCCATCACCAGGGAGCACTCATCGTGCCCTAATGCACTGACCCCAAACATATGAGCAGCCATGTAGGAGAACATCATCTGTGCTGGACAAGTGTATCTATCTGCCCTCTGACCTCCTCGAAGGAGGAACTGGGAACCTCTGATGTTGTTACTGTCAGGGCATCCATCAACAAACTGCAGCGCCCAGCCTGAGGGACCAGACCTATATCATGAAGTCCAAGAGGAAACAACAGGGGGTGGGGGAGGAGGGGATGAAGAGATGTGATTTCCAGTGGGCAAAGCTACTCTATCTGAAGTCCCTAATATTGCAACTTATAAAAGAGCCAATTCCCCTTTAGTGAGATCACTTGTTCCTTTCACAGGAATTGATTTCGCTTTACTTCTAAAAAACGTGAATACAGTCCTGCCTCCACCAAGAACACTTCACCTGTCCCAGCTTTCACTGATGATAAAGCATCATTAGTGTAAATATATCCTCCACGTCTGGGACTTCTCTAGTGAGCGTAAAAGAACGTTCTCTGGGATGCTGCCAACATCCGTACAGGAGTCCTGTGCCTGCATTAGCCCTGTTACCTCATTAGCAACGATACAAGGATGCAATGCCAACAAAGCTCTGACAAATTACAGAATTAGAAGCAAATTAATGCTTAGGAGTACATTCAGAACTGCGTGGTGATAGGCCAGCCATTAGGCAGTGAGCTCTGTGTGCTTCTACGGAAACTGAATTTAGGTTTTAACCATCTATGTCCCTTCCAGGCATTTAAATGCTCATTGCTCATGGGGACAGTGAGAGCTCTGCCTCAAGCCTCCCTGGGTGATATGCTTGGAAAAGAAATTGCCTCCTGCATGCATGGCTTAACATTTGTTATGTGTGGGGAAGATGACACGTGTCATGCAAGAGGACTCTCGTGCATGAAGTTTTAACTTTGAACTGCTGCAGAAATGGAAGACCCTCACTTTGTGTTCCCAACTGCTTAACATACACACCATCCACAGTGGTCCTGCAGGGCATGGCACCTTACCTGCTCCCTGCTTGCAGTGCACTACACTGACCAGCAAGTCCTACTTCAGGATAAGCCCCTTCCTGTTCTCAGAGGAGCAGAAATACTATTATATTTAGCTATTTCCTACACTGACAGTACTCGTTAGTTTTCAGAGCCTCCTCAGGCTGGAGACACGCTAGTCCAAGCCCATTAGAAAGAGTAAAGCATCTTTCACCCCACTGGAAGTAAGAGGGAGGCCATGGATGGGAGGTGAAGAGGCTGGCTATATCCATAAACCCATTTTCCACTTACACATTTATCATGGATCAGAATGTAAAGTTTGGCCTCCTGTTTTTTGGAAACTGCAATTTTAACTTCTCCTTGCTCAGAAATAGCCAGACAAGCTCAAGACAAGCCCAGTATGACCAGTTCCCATGACTGTGAATGAAAGCTACTGCAGGTTGATCCTTTAGCAAGCACAGTCCATCTCTTCTAAAATCAGATAGTCAAAATGATAGGGCAGTTTGCAAATCTCAACTCATTCAGGCTTTACACACCCATGCAGATATTGCAGAACAGTTACTAAAAGACACAGGAGCAGATCTGCCTTTGGAGTTAACCAGTCTAAATCCTTTGTCCCTGCTCTGATTAACTTCTCCAAACCCCCCACAACCAACACATCTCATATGAAACATTTGCAAAAAGCCTACCATGGCTCTGTAGGTGCCACAAGCACCCTGAAAGCAGCACAACCAATGTGCTCTACAAGTGAGGCCATGCCAGAGTCCTGTCATGCCCTGAGATGTGAGCCAGCCCCATGCAGGGTGTGAGGGTTCCCAGGAGGGACACACAGCCTCAGCCCTGGAGGCTGCACTCTCATTTCTCCTTTGAAGCTTGTGCTGTGCTCTCAGCAGGGGCTTGCAGTTGTTTATCAAATCAACAAAGCCAAGAGAAAAGAAGACTCGTGCAAGTCAGGGAAGGGTTGCTGGTGATGTTTCCATCAGTCCCGGGTCAGCTTTGAATGATGAGATGTTTCATTCAACCTTTTCAATTTCCACCCCAGGCTGGGATTTGGTTTTGCTCCTTCAAACACTCACATCCATGAGCACTCAGTACAGGCAACAAGAACGGAATATTATATACAGGTAAAAGCAAGACTCTGAGCAGTTCACAAGCAGCATGTGTCCCAAAGCATGATGCTCTGCATCCCAACTAGCTCTACAGGGCATCAGCCACACTGAGATACAAAATATTACTATTAGCTTCCCTCTGCCTGAAACCAAACAGCAGCTCAACCACGAGAGCCTGCTGGAGGTAAACGAAGGAGCCAGAGCAGCCAGCAAGGTCCAAAGACAGATCAGCCTCCTCCAAGACATGCATTAATTACTTGGTTAATAACAGCTATAAAATAATTATTGTGCCTATTTATTCCTCCTTGGAGAAGCCTATCATTAGTCAAAGATCCAAAAGCTGATTCTGAAATGAGTGTGAAACAGATGTGTGTGTACACATGGCCATGCACTTTTACACCTCAGACTATGCTTGTGCATTCGCACCCTGTTTGCTAAATCTTTCTTCTCTGTGGGGTGACACCAGGAGCTGTTTTATCATCCTGAAGTCTTAAACCCACCCGTGTCTCAGACATTCAGTGCCTCACAGCCTGGATTTCACCAGCTTAACTCCACAGAGCACAAGTCAAAACTCCAATTATTTTGTTTTGCTAATTTAAGCCAGGCAGCATTGAGCAATGCCTCATGACTCGAAGGAAGTAAAGTTGCAAATACACCATGGCAGGGTGTCCAAAAAGGACCAGGTCACAGATGCTGTCTCCTTTGGTGCTCCTACCAGCTAGGAAAGGTTGGGTAGCCACTCTGGTGGCTGAAACAGGCAGCAAACAACAGCTGGGGCCAGGCACTGTTTTCAGTTGGAGAGTATCTTTGCCAGAGAAGGATGACTTTTGTGTTTACCCAAACTATTTGCAAATCCACCCAGAAATTTAAAAATCCTTCTGGAAATTCTTTTTTTCCCCCTCAAACTCTGAATTGTCTCATTTCAGCCTTTAGGAGGCAAACCAGCACAATTTCTTGCTTCAAGATGAAGTTTTACTCATTGCTTTGCTTATACTTAATTTAAAAAAGCTTCTTTCCATTTTGTCCAAACCACAGGACTTACAGAAAGTCCCATGGTCCAAGTAGCAGAGCAGAGAGCAGCTGCTTACTGCCCTGAGCATCCCTCTGCCCAAAACCTGCCTGGATGGGATGAGCACCCACAGTGGGGAGTGGTGCAGCATCACTCACCCTCTGCCCCATTCCCACATGCAGAGTCACAGCAATCACAGGCACCAACCTTCCTCCTTGCTCACTGATGGAGCCTGATTTAAGGTATGTCTGATCTGAGCCCCCTCCTTGCTCCTGCAACCCAGCAATTGCAAGGGTACAAGGAGAGGTGCTTTGGGCTGCCCTTTTCTCCTGTGCGAGTGTCCCACACTGAGATATCTCCAGCCAGGAATTCTTCAGCCTCCTTTTAACCAGATAGGAAAACCTTGACACATGCTTCCAGAAGAGGATCTGGGCAATAAATCACCATGCACAGTGCTCTTTCACTTGCAGCTACAAGAGAGGCAAGGAGTGGCTTGGTGAGGAGCAGGGATATAAGGAGCTCTTTAGCTCTAGGCTAATATGTGCACTAGTTTAATATGTGGACCAGGTTGAGAGGGTTGGGATTACCAGATCAGCAGGTGATCTCCGTTCATTTCTCTAGGGTGCTTGCTTGGCAACTTTTCATTTCAGTGTTTGCTTGAGGGCATTAAAAGGAGAGGGCAAAGGCTGAACAGATCTTGGAGAGCAAATTCACATCTTGGCAGAGCTGCCTAGAAAAAAGCATTCCTCTCACCGAAGTGATTTACATCTGCTGTGACTGCCACACTGGGATGCCTACACTGAAACGATCTGCTTTGGGCATGCCTGAGCATCCCTCCAGGCAGTGCCCAGAGGAGCTGCTACACATAGACTTTTTTTCCTTCTTCTCAAACCCTGTGACCCTCACT